GGGAGCTTTGTTTGGGTGGGAGGGGGCACCACAGGAGGAGTCTGGGTGATGCCCAGGGCCCCACCTCCTGCCTCTGTGTGACCAGTGGTACCAAATCCAGAACCAGCGAGTGTGGGCTCTCGAGCAGGTTTGGAGAGGAATCTGGGGCGTTAGTTCAGCACCAGAGGCCCAGGTGCCTGGGGCACCCCCAGGGGAAACTGCCTCGGTGGGGCCAGGGAACTGTACCTGGTTCCTGCTCCAGTCTGGCCTGGAGGCACATGGCTGCATTTGGTGGGGGCTGTTTGGTGGCGGTGGTAGGGGGTGGGTGTGTGGGTGGTTGATGTTTTAGTTAGGCAGCAGGTTAGCTGCACTTAACCTTCAGCCTCTCTTTTGCAGATCCATGCCCTCTCAGCAAGGCCCCTAATGAAATGGCCTCTTTCTGATAGATTTTTCATCATAGGACAATTTTAACATAAAAGCAATGTTAATAAAAGCCAAATGTTAGCTCAGGCCTTCCAGTAAATCATAATAGATTAGATGCTGCACCAAAATGAATATCGTGCGGTGGAAAGGGTTGACCAGTTAGAGGGAGTCGCTCGTTGTGAGTCAGCAGGGCCAGTAATGAATGCTGGTTCCTGTCTGTAATAGCAGATTCAGTCCTTTGTCCTTTGTCAAGTCTGCAGGGCCCTGGCCCCGGGGGTCGGGGGTCCGGGAAGGGGAGTTTTGCAGCTTTGTCTTTTTAAAGGTTCCCCCACTCTGCCCACCACCCTTCGACTCCTGCCCCCCTCCATATATCATTGTTTAGGAGAAGGATCTTGGGCTTTTGTTTTGCTGAGAAGTTGCTTGGAACAAGGATGAGAAGTATGAGAAAGGTTGAAAGATAATAGGATAAAGGGAGGCTTTCGCCCTGCAGAAAACTGGCAAAATATCATTCTGGATCTCGACTGACACATAATCAGAACTGGAAGTACATTGGAAATCAGCCCAACATCTGGTTAGCTTTCGAAATAGTTGGTCTATAGTTTTCCAAAGCTGGCAATGCTTGCGTGACTCTAGCCAAAGGGAGAGAAAGAAAAAAACTTTTTGACCATGATTTTTACCTGGCATTGTTGTGCAGGTTTGTCTGTCCACTTCTTTTTATGTTACTTCGGTCTGGGTCTGTTCCACCCCCATCCTGAATGGGGGCTTCCAGTGAGGAGAAAGAATCCAGAAGCCAGAACTCAGGGAAAACTTAGGAGCTGGTCAGTGACATCCCTGAACCTCACCCTTCGCTTCTCTTTGGGATTCTTTGAGTGAGTTAGCTGGGAGTTGGGCCCCGCCTGCTCCTGCTCCGAGCCCCGCCCTGTGCTTGTTGGGTGCGAGCGATGGCAGGGGAAACTGTTCTGACTCACTGTCGAGCAGACTTTGACCCGACAGGGAGGGAGCGAGGAAGCACGTGGTCTGCTGGAATCTGGACGTGCGAGCGCAGCTCCCTGGGCCACGTGAAGTGCATCTGGGTTTCTCTGGAATTTGTCTGTCACTCGGCACTTAAGGCCTGAAGCAAATAGGACAATATATTATCTACAGTGTTTATTTCAGTCAGAGGGAAATGACTAGCAAAGGAACTAGAGCCGGTTTGCAACAAAACCTGCTTCTCAGTGATTGGAAACCTGTGAGTGCGTGTGTGTGTCTGCCTGTCTATCCATTCATCTGCACACACGCTGGTTCCCTTTCACATGCATATCTTTGTCATATTGTCAAGTTGACCTTGTTCATTCACAGCTGTCAGCCACTGTTTTGTTAGGACCCAGAAGAATGTCTTAGAGACCGAGGTGGGAGACAGAGAGAGAGATGGGGAGGGAATAAGGCACCTGGCCCAGCAGGAACTTTGGGGAAAGATCAGAGATGCCCAGAGGAGCTATTTACAAAGTTTTGTCACATGTTGTGTGACATGAGCCTGCTCTCTGCCTCATCTTGTGTGATGGTAAAATCTACCACACAGAGAATGACTTACCACATGGAGTCTGTTTGGGGGAAAGGGCCAGAAGCGGGGAGATCACCTTGAGTGGCCAGGGGGATGGAGACCACTCCAGACTTGGCTGGAGCACAAACACGTCATGTCATCTGCTAGCTGCCGCCCCAGGGGTCCTGGCAGCTGAGCCTCGCTGGTCCCTTCTGCCAGGGTCTGCCCCGTCACTTCTGCCCACAGCCCCTGGCCCTGCTCTGCCCGAGCTCTGCGCACTCCCTGCCCTGAGGTTGGGCCTGGCACGACCTGGTCGTCCCTGGGCTGCTCACCCTTCAGAATCCAGTCCAAGCTGCTCGTCCCCTGCGCTGCCCCCAAACAGCCCAGCATGCCTTCTTTGGGCCTTCTGAAATAGCTCGACATTAGCTTGGTTAGGTTGTTTTCCAATCTTTTCTTTCCTCTTACAACACATCTGATAAGGAACTCCATTAAGCCACGTTCAAAGTAAAAATTCTAATCAGCATGTGGTGATGCCAAGTCACTGTTGAGCATGGGTCCTGACAGCAAGCCTGGGGCAGGCAGTTTCTGTGATCATTCCGTTGAACAAGGAGACTGAGGGTCAAAGAAGTTAAGTATCAAAAGAAAGTTCCTCCAGCAGCCTTCCATCCTGGCCCCCTGGTGTGGCGGGAACCTAGGGGGAGAGGGAGCCGGGCGGTGGGGAGCATGGGCGGGGGGAGCGTGGAGGAGAGCTGCCTTGCAAGTGGGCAGGGGCTGTCGTCAGCCCAGAGCAGGCCCCTCGCATGCTGGTGCAGGCAGGGGCTCGCCAGGCAGGGGGTGCCGCCCCGACCCCATCTGGATCCTGTCCACCTGGGGAATTATCCTGGTTCTGACTGTACCTCTAATGTGCTCTGTGACCTTGGGGACACAACTTACCCCTGAGCCTTAATTTCCTCCCTAAAGGAAGAGGGTGCATTGGCATCTGGTCCTCTGAAGCCTAGGTGTGTTTCAGTCCCCGGGGTTCCCCGCCTCCCAGAGAGTAGGGCTGAGGAAGCTCAGGATAACCTTGGCAGGTTTCTCTTCCTGTTGAGAGAAGATTTTACCACAGATTTCCTCAATTTTGACAAATCCTAAGGGAGTTGGGACAATAATGGGAAAGACAAAAATGGAATGCATCCTGGAAATGCAAGAGCTGGTCCAAGTCTGGGTGTCTCTGGCCCTGCTGGCTGCCCCCATGTTCTCCCAGGAACCAGCAGCCGATTCCGTCTGCCATCTTTGAAGTGGGATGGCGGATGGTGGGGTCACAGAGCTGGGTGATGCCCTGGACGGGCCAAGGAGCCATTTTTCCCCCCAGAACCACTGACAGTTTCCAGGGGGCCAGGAAGGAAAGAGTAGAGAGAGATTCACACGGTGTTGACATCTCTGGGGGAAAATAAAAAAGCAACAAATGACAGAAAGATTTAGTCGACGTCCCTCCTGCCGTTTAATAAACCAGAACGCTTCAGAGTTAAGACATTTAGCATTAAGATGGGATACAGAACCAACAAATTCAATTTTCATCGCAATCACATCTTTCTGACGAAGCCATGTGTGTGCGGTTGTGAGAGAGGGCACTGCCCACCTCCAGCCCTCAGGCCTCCCCCACTCGTGTTATCTCCTTGGCATGACTTAGCCGCTGGTTCCGATCTGGAAGGAATTCAATAAAGCAAGATATATTGTTATGGTTTATTACGTCAACGTGTGAGCATGGGAGTCACTTAGAATCCAGACGATCAGCTCTTCACTGCTATCCTCCACTATTTTGTCAAGGTTCTAAATGAAGCGTCATCTGGGACTCAAGGGGCCGTATTTCAAGAGTTCCCAGAAGTGCCACCTTCCCCCCTTTTGTAGAATAACAGGAAAAGACGTGCTTCAGGCACAAACAATCCTTCCCAGCTCCCCGGACATGGAGCAAGTGAAATGTTTGTTTCTGGGAGCTTTTCTGCGGGTGTAGTTTTCTTGCAGAGCCATGCTAGACAAGAGGAGGCTTTGCATCACCTCTTGTCGCACACTCAGCCTGCCGATGTGGCCCTAGCGGGTCGTCCTGTCACCCCGGCCCCCAGGTCCTGCTTTAGGAAAAGTGGTGCTGAGTTCAGTTAGATTGAGCATGCCGTCTCTGCTTCCCACCTCCTCTCCCCTGTCTTGTCTTTCATCTTTGAAATGCAGTTATTAATAGATTTCGCTGGAAGAAAAGTGATCCCTCTGTGCCTTAAACACAGATCCACTCTGTTCGTTTTATCCTATCTGCACCTTTGTGTGGGCCTGGCGGGAGCTGCCGCCTGTGTGCTCGCCTCTCGGGGGCCAGCTCACCCGTTTGGTGTTAAGAACTGGAGGTGCAATCGGTGGGCATGACTGCAGGTTCCTTTGTGTCTGGTCTGTCCCCCCCACCCCCGCTGTGGGACGTGTCTCACACAGCAGTGGCCTCGGGGGTTCACAGACCATCCCCGAAATGACAGCGAAGCCCAAGTTGCTCCTCTCCTCCCCACTTCCTGCTCCCCCGATTGTGCCCAGAAGCGCGTCTCCAGTCAGGCTAGTGTGACCTCAGCACCTTTCACTTACCTGCCCATCACCCTTCATAACACAGAGTGGACCTTAGTCTAAAGTGAGCAGCCAGTCCACATTGTTTGGCTGAAATGTGAAAGCCTTGTTGCTGTCAGTATTGCAGCCATCCTGGTTTCCCATTTACAAGTAGTGATGGAAAATGTATGCTTTAGGGGCTTCCCTGGTGGTCCAGTGCTTAGGACTCTGCACTTTCACTGCCAGGGGCCTGGGTTCAATCCCTGGTTGGAGAACTAAGATCCCACAAGCTGCACGGTGGGGCTGAAACAGAAAGAAAGAAAATGTATGCTTTAATAATATATTTCCTTAAGTTCCAGTTACAGAAAACTCTGAGGTGAGTCATACCAGGGGCAGTACCTGGTCGCGGCAGCAATCCGGAAGGTCGACAGTAGACAGCCAAGGTTGAGGAAGCTAAGCTCGAAGGGGCCTTTTGGGACAAGGTAAGGCGGCTGCGCTGACAGCCGGCTCCTTCTCTCTGTTCCAGGCATGGATCCTGAGAAACTCGAGCGAATCCAGCTTCCAGTGCCCACTGCAGCCGAGAAGACCACCTACAACCACCTCCTGGCTGAGAGGCTCATCAGAATCATGAACAACGCAGCCCAGCCAGGTGCCCGGGCGTGCGGGCAGTGCCCGGGGGTGGGGGAGTTGCAGGGACCAGGCCCCACACCAGCCCCAGGAGCCCCGGCATCCAGACCTGGCCATGCCGGGAATCCAGGCGGAGCTCAGCCACTCCCCAGCCGCACAGACACCCTGGGCCACCCAGATCCTCCCGTCCAGTCTTGTCTTCATCCCGGGGTCTCCTCTTCCCGTCCCCCGTGGTATTTATGCCAGATTCTCGCTGTCTTCTCCTCCCACGCTCACTCCTGCTTTGGTCAGTTGTGCAGTGTCTGCAGCTCTCCTCTCAGGGTGGCCGAGGCCACATTTGAGCAGGAACTAGGCTGGGAGGGTGAGCGAAGGGGAAGGCTGGAAGGTGTGGGTTGGGTGCTTTTGATGATATGTGCCTGGTATCAGCCTAGTTCTGAGGCCTTGGCCAGCGCCGACCTGCAGCCACAGCATGGGCTGGAAGAGCAGGTGGAATGAAGTAGCGGAGCAGTCCTCACCTGGGGGCAGCGTTGTCCCCACGGGGCAGCGTCCAGAGACGTTCTTGGTTGTCACAGCTTGGAGACGGGTGCTACTGACATTCTGTAGTCAGAGGCCAGGTGCTGCTCCACACCCTACGGTGCACAGAACAGCCCCCAGAACAAAGGATTGTCTGGCCCCAGATGTCGACGGTGCCAAGATTAAGAAACCCTGACCGCAAGGCAGGAAAAAAGATGATCAGGGTGTGAGTGAGAGCCCAGGAAAGGGCCCGACGGAGATGCTGCCTGGTGGGGAGAGAACTGCTGAGCTGAGCTAGCAGGAGCAGTCCAGGCGGTGGGCTCAGGAGGGCAGGGGGCCAGGGATATGGTTGCAGGTGAGGGCTTCAGAAGTCAGGGGAGTGGTGGCCAGAGCACAGTGTGACTGCCAGGGAGTGACCACAAGGGTCTGGAGAACCAGGTCCACAGCCTAAAGGGTGATGTCAGGGTATCAGTAAACTCAACGGCTGTTTATTGAGAGCCTCCTGTATTCCAGCCTCTGTGTGCAAGTGATGAGGGTGCAGGAAGTAGGGGACATATGGACCCTATCCTCTGTGAAGTTCCAACAGTCCGGGGCTCCATGTGGAGATGGGATCTAAGCCTCAGAGCAGGGTCAAGGCCAGAACTAACTCTGCAGGGCTCATAGATCTTTATAAAGTCACAGGGGAAGAGAGAGGCATGTCTAGGACTGAGCCCAGGGCCACTACTGATCTCTGGAGGTGACATACAGGGGAGCCGGCTCTGGAGCCTGGCCCAGGCCCCATATGAGAAGAGGGCCCAGAGTAGGGTGTTTTGAGGGACAAGAAAGATGTGGTTTCTTGGGACCATGGGGCGCTCAGTGGGGTCAGCTTCTGCTGAAGGTCCAGTTGGGGAGGCAGAGCATGGTCCTGAGGATGGTGCCCAGGGCCAACCTGTTGGCAGGAGCAGCAGGAGCCAGATGTGGCTTGGTGACAGGGAAGGCGGAGTGTGGTCTGGGTGCTGGGGAGGACCCTCCAGGGACAGGAGGATCAGCAAACACCCTGAGGACAGTGTGTAGTGCTGCCTGGATTTCTGAAGAGAAGACAGTGGGGCAGCTCAGAGGGACAATCTGGAAGCTTCGCTGGAGAGAGACACCTTTGGGAGGAATAGCCAGCAACTCACCAGGTGCTCACAAAGGAAGAATGGTCCTAGTGGAGCATCACGGTCTGCTTCCCCAGAGGTAGCAGGAGGGGTGTTTCTGACCTGGCCCACAGGGTGGCTGGGGGCCGGGCTGTGGTCCAGAGAATGCCTGTGCTCAGCGGAGGCCAGGCTGGCGGGCGCTGCTGGGCCAGGGCGGGCAGAGTGGCCCAGCCAAGACTGATCAGCCTCTGCCTGGGCTGGGTTTGTATTGGGCTTCGGAAGGCCTAGTTTTGCTTATATGCTACCTGCTCACTTTTGGGCCAGTGGATTCCCTCTTCTCACCTATCTTCCCCCTCCCCCCAGCCCCTGACCATTGAGGCATAAAGCCAGGCAGGGAGGTGCAGCTGTGTGCCCACCTTGGGTGTTCCCCCAGCAGCCCATCCTGGGCCCCATTGTTCCCAGAGAGTCCCCCTTTCCTGGCCCCTCCTATGTGAAGGCCCCTCCCCAGAAATGAGATTAAAGACCTGGGGGGAGTTTGCTGAGAGCGGGATGCCCTTCAGTCAGGCGGTCACAGGTGCTTCCAGGGACAATGCTGGGTGTGGGTTTTGGCATCCAGGAAACCTGAGTCCGCCACGGCCCAGGTGAGTGAGGCTGGGAACCTGTCCCTTCCCGTCTCCAAACCTCAGCTTGCAGAGCACCCACTGCAGTGGGGCTTTAGAGAGGCTCCTTGAGGAGCCCAGCTCCAGGCTCATAGCAGGACAGCAGGCTGTTAGTCAGGACTCGGTTGCAGTTGATAGAAGCCCAGCTCAGACTCGCTGAGACAATACAAACAAACAAGACTGCTGGCCTGTGTGACTTCGAGTCTGCTGGGCTCTGGCTGGAGGCAAAGTGAACCCGGGACCCGCACAGTGTTTGCAAGCTCATCTTGGGCTCTGCGGCCTTCTGTGTTGGCCAGTTAACTGCCTGCCGCTCCCGCCTCCCCTTTCTCTGTCAGGCTCTAGACTTGCTGTAGGAGAGATGCTGAGTGGTGGAAGGCAGGACTCGGGGCTCAGGTTGTAGAACACGGGAGTGTGAAAACGTCCCAGTCTGCAGCCAGCACGGGGAGAGGGTCTCGAGCCCAGGGGTTCCAGCGAGTGGTGGAATTGAGCCTCACTGGCTGTGACTGGCTTCCTGGCTGGTCCCCTGTGCAGGCACTGTGACCAGGGGCCTGGATGGCCCCAACCAGCCTGGGGGGCTGTGCCCCCCACCCCGAGGCAGGGGGAGCAGCCCATGACCAAGAGTGGGGCTGGTGACCCTCCAAAGGAAAGAGGGGTTCTGGTCCCTGAAGGAGGGGAAGGACCTCTGGACAAGCAAAGCGACCACAGACAGCCACTTTCTAGGTCTTCAGTAATCAGTTACCCATTTTTCCTGCCTCCCTGTCGCCCATAAGAAGGCTTAGAGGAGCGTTTGGTACAGGCAGTTTTGATGGGAACTTTCAACTGTAGTTGATTGGGCAGGGGATTAGCATGTGGGGGTCCCTCTCTGCCCCCACGGGATGTCGGGGGGCCTGTCGGCTGACCTGCTGATCTCCAAGTCAGGAAGGCAGGAGACTGCACGTGAGGGCGTGGGCGTGGCTGACCCAAGTGTGCCCTGCAGACGGCAAGATCCGCTTGGCGACGCTGGAGCTGAGCTGTCTGCTCCTCAAGCAGCAAGTCGTGGCCAGCACGGGCTGCATCATAAAGGACGTGCACCTGGCCTGCCTGGAGGTGAGGCCTGTTCCTGCCACGCCAGCCCCACAGTGGGGGGAGGTCACAGGGAAGCCCTGCATCCAGGTCGTAGCTGGTCCCAGGTGTGCGAGGCACCAGCAGGAGGAAGACAGGCCACAGACCCCCTGCCGACCCCCTGCCCGCTTGTCCCCACGGACCTGTCCTTCCACCGAGATGGCCCCAAGCAGCCCACTGATTAGCGAATCTTAGTAGTTTCTCTTGTAAGTGTTTGGCTCTGTATTTGTCTCCAGGATTTTTTTCTTTTTATATTTTGAAAGTTGTATTCATGTACAGACACATGTTTATTTATTTATGGTTTATCGTGCTACTGCGTACACTCATGTTTTGAATAGCATTTGTTGTTTTCCCTCTTATTTTTCATGTTTGTTTTAGAAAGTTTAGAAAAGTACAGAGGGGTAAAAAGTAACACTAGTTGACACTTGGTGTGTGTCTTTCCAGCTACACGTATACCCTGACACACACGTTCACACGTGAATTTTTCTGTTTATAAGAGTGGAGTCGTCACAGCCGAACTTTATTAATAGAACCCATTTCCCTCACGTAACTGCGTGTCAACAGCTCTCCAAGTCATCAGGTTGAATCATTTGTCCTTCACCCAGCTCTGTTTTGACCTCCTTCTCCACCACCCCGATGAAGAACCACTTTATGGATTATCAGCCCAGCGTCTGTCTTCTATAGCCTCAGATTTTAGAATCCGTGGCTTGCCCCAACTCACTCACCTCTGTGAGACCTGCCCCTCACGCCTTCCCTCTCTTTTAACAGGGAGCCCGAGAAGAGAGCGTCCACCTGGTGCGGCACTTCTATAAGGTAGGCCGGGGCTCGGGGGCGGGAAGCAGGACAGTCATGGCTTCAGTCCTCTCTCACACCCTCTGAGTCCTGAGGGAAAACGTGCCATTCTGTCCGCTCCGCAGCAGTGGTCTCTGCGCTATTCTGCTCATGCTGTCTTATCAGCGCGACTTTTGAGGACTCACCCCTGGTGTGGGATTGTTTATTTATCAATTATATATGAGTTTGTTCATTGATGAATTTACGTGTAAACCATCAATTATATACAGATGCTCAGACGACTAAATTATACATAGGAACTTTTGTGTTCATGAATTATATGTGCTTGCCATGGCAATCAACTCCAGTATTCTTGCCTGGAGAATCCCATGGACAGAGGAGCCTCGCAGGCTACAGTTCATGGGGTCACAAAGAGTTGGACACAGCTGAAGTGACTTAGCGTGCACACATGCATAGGTATAAAATTACTGAATTACATATGAATCTATGAACTGTATGCATGTGTATTGTTTATATATATGTACAGGCAGACCTCAGAGATACTTTGGATTTGACTCCAAACCACCGCAAAACAGCAAATACCACAACAGAGTCAAGCAAATGGTTTGGTTTCCCAGTGCTAATCAAAGTTATGCTTATACTGTACTGTGATCCGCTGAGTGAGTGATAGCATGGTGTCTAAAAAAATGTATTTCTATTGTTCAGTCACTAAGTCGTGTCTGACTGTGATCCCATGAGCTGCAGCACACTGGGCTTCCCTGTCCTTCACTGTCTGCTGGAGTTCGCTCAGAGTCATGTCCATTGAGTTGGTAATGCTATCTAACCTTCTCATCCTCTGTCACCCCTTTCTCCTCTTGCTCTCACTGTTTCCCAGCGTCAGGGTCTTTTTTTTTTTTTCATTAATTTTTATTAGTTGGAGGCTAATTACTTTACAATATTGTAGTGGTTTTTGTCATACATTGACATGAATCAGCCATGGATTCTAATGAGTCAGCTCTTCGCATCAGGTGGCCGAAGTATTGGAGCTTCAGCATCAGTCCTTCCACTGAATATTCAGGGTTGATTTCCTTTGGGATTGTACATACCTTAATTAAAAATATTTTATTGTTAGGATTTCCTCAATGGTCCTTTTTTTTTTTTTTTTTTTTTGGTCCATTGTTTAAGAATCCACTTTCCAATGCAGAGGACGAGTATTTGATTCCTGGTTGGAGAACTAAGATCCCACATATCTTGGGACAACTCTGCCTGCATGCCTCAACTAAGGAAAGCTCAAGCTGCAGCAAAGACCTAGTGCTACCTTAAAAAAGAAAACTTTATTGCTAAAACATGCTAATTATCATTTGACAACTAGCATTTGCCACAGACCTTCAATTTGTTTATAAAAAATGTAGTATCTTTGAAACAGTAACTTCAGTTCAGTTCAGTCACTCAGTCATGTCCGACTCTGCGACCCCATGGACTGCAGCATGCCAGGCTTCCCTGTCCATCACCAGCTCCCGGAGCTTGGTCAAATTCATGTCCATCGAGTTGGTGATGCCATCCAACCATCTCATTCTCTCTTGTCCCCTTCTCCTCCTGCCTTCAAACTTTCCCAGTGTCAGTCTTTTCCAGTGAGTCAGTTCTTCACATCAGGTGGCCAAAGTATTGGAGTTTCAGCTTCAGTAAAGCAAAGCTCAATAAAATGAAGTGTGCCTATGTGCTGAGAAACCTCACACAGGCTCTAAACATTTCTCATGAATTTAGTGAGAATTGATAAAGGGCCCCCATGACCTTCAGTATCTGGAAAATGTGTAGGTTCGGTTTCCAGGGGATTCACTTTAAGATACCACCTTGTGATGACTTTGTTTCCCTCTTTTCTTAAGGGTAAGATAGACTCAGGCAGGGCTCATCATTTGTCAGCAGTGGGTTCATCCATATGTCAGACAGCCCTAGTAGTTTTCTGATATTTTGGCCTCCACATCAGCTCTCTCTGGATCCAGTGAGTGGTGGTTTTCCCTCGTAATCTTGACTGATGAAGAGATCCTCCCAGGAGGAGGAAAGGTGTCAACACTGCTGTTTTCTCATTCACTTGCACTTTCGTTCATTGCACTCTCTTTATTTTATTTTTTTTCCATTTATTTTTATTAGTTGGAAGCTAATTACTTTACAATATTGTAGTGGTTTTTGCCATACATTGAGATGCATCAGCCATGGATTTACATGTATTCCCCATCCCGATCCCCCCTCCTACCTCCCTTTCGTCCCGATCCCTCTGGGTCTTCCCAGTGCACCAGCCCTGAGCACTTGTCTCATGTATCCAACCTGGGCTGGTGATCTGTTTCACCCTTGATAATATACATGTTTCGATGCTGTTCTCTCGAAACATCCCACCCTTGCCTTCTCCCACAGAGTCCAAAAGTCTGTTCTGTACATCTGTGTCTCTTTTTCTGTTTTGCATATAGGGTTATCATTACCATCTTTCTAAATTCCATATATATGCGTTAGTATACTGTATTGGTCTTTATCTTTCTGGCTTACTTCACTCTGTATAATTGGCTCCAGTTTCATCCATCTCATTAGAACTGATTCAAATGAATTCTTTTTAATGGCTGAGTAATATTCCATGGTGTATATGTACCACAGCTTCCTTATCCATTCGTCTGCTGATGGACATCTAGGTTGCTTCCATGTCCTGGCTATTATAAACAGCATTGCACTCTCTTTAAACAGCTGTGAACTATGTACATAGATCCCCGAGAATCTTGTTCCTTGTAAGAAATTTTTTCAGCCACTGTCCATTACTGTCAGTGTTCACTGAGATAAAACCAGATCACATAATATGGAAATGCCCCTTGTGGGGTTCAGATGACCCCCTGAAGCTGCAGCACTCTGGATGTGCTCAGAAGAGGGTGGTACCACGGTGGGTCCCGTGTTCCGGGGCGGAATCCCACTTCCCCCAGACTGGCCCCAACCCCACTTGGGCTTGAAGTGAGGATGAGTCCTCAGCACAGTCATCTTTGACACTCCTTCCGGTGTAACTGCACTTAGTCTGTCCTCCCCACCCTCCCCACAAGCTTCTGGATTACAAAAAGCAGGAAGAGATGTAGGTAGGCATCTTCCCAGAGGATTTTTCTTTTTCAGTGACAAAAGGAGATCTGTACTTGAATCGCACCTCCCTTCTCCCATCCCAGGTTTTTCTCTCTTTTATCCTCTAAGGTTTGTACCCTTAGTATATCAGGAGCTTATCAATATTTTCAAGGATTATTTCTGTGGTTATTTTGTGGGTCTCACACCAAAGGGGCTTCCCTGGTGGCTCAGATCACCTGCCATGTAGGAGACTCGAATTCGATCCCTAGGTTGAGAAGATCCCCTGGAGAAGGGAATGGCTACCCACTCTTTTTATTGTTGCCTGGAATATTGTTGCCTGGAGAATTCCATGGACAGAAGAGCCTAGCAGGCTACAGTCCATGGGGTCACAAAGAGTTGGACACGACTGAGCCAACTAACATTTTCACTTTCACACCAAACAAGAACTTTCAAGTTTGCCGATAGTTTTGATAACTGGAAAAACATACAAAGGACCTATTGCTTTTCCCACCCCAACTGTGTGTGTGTATGTGTGTGAAAGAGAGAGATAGTACTGGGGGAGAGAGGGAGACTTACGGCACAGGCCAGACCAGTGCTACCAGCCCCTGTCCTCCCGGGCTGCAGACCTGTCCAGGGTGGTCATGATGACACATTGACCTGCACAGACGGGGCCAGTCACCCCATCTTGCAGTGAAACAGAGAGGCTCTGAGAGGAACAACTGAGATTGGCCCCTGGTCTATGAGTCTCAGAGCCGCTCCCCACCACCCTGTTCTGGGGGGTCCTCAGGGCCACAGGCGCTCTAAAACCCCCAAAGGCACGCCTCAGAAACAAATGGAACAAGCCACGTAATGTTAGCCTTAAGCGTATCTAATCATACTCTTCCTTCCAGACGTGTAGAGCCTCTGTCAGCTTTAACATGACAGCTTAGCCCACACTCTTATTTTCTCCAACCATTCTCAGCAAACAGATCATTTTAAATACCTGAAACATTAACCATTTTTATATTTTAATTGTACATGAAGTGATTTTTGTTGTGGTGGTTAATTAACTGCCTCGACATTAGAAATCCACAATGACACATGCTTGGAGAAAAGGAGAAAACCGTTGAGGTGCAATTTGATATTTGGGCTTTCATTTGAATATGTGTGTGTGTGTGTGTGTGTGTGCATGTTCACGTGTGTATTTTACTTCCTGGTGGTTTACGAGAACTCACTAATAAGAAACAGATGACCCAAAAGCCGCGAACTGGAGTTTATAATCCTTTGTTGTTCATGGAAAAAAAATATACATAATCTTCTCTTTCCTTCCTTCCTTTTTTAGGGAGAAGAAATCTTTTTGGACATGTTTGAAGATGAGTACAGGAGCATGACGGTAAGTGAGGGGCCAGAAGGACTCGTGGCCAAGCTTGTCCTGCCAAACTGAGAGAGAACTCATCTAATTTGGGGCTTTCTGTTCAAATGGCAGAGATGGGTGGGGAAGGGCATTGAAAACGGTCCTTTTTAATCCTCAGCAGTGAAATTACAGATGACGTTCACTCCCCCTAAGTTGGGCTGAGTCATGAGATGGGTTAGGAAGATTCACTTTGATATGAGTAGTTTTTTTTTTTAACTTTTAATTTTATATTGGATTATCTCCAGTTAAAAATGCTATGATGGTTTCAGGTGGACAGCAAAAGGACTCAGCCAGACATATACATGTATCCACTCTCCTCCAAACTCCCCTCCCATCCAGGCTGTACATAACGTTGAGCAGAGTTCCCTGTGCTATACAGTAGGACCGTGTTGGTTATCCTTTTCAAGTATAGCTGTGTTTACATGTCCATCCGAAGCTCCCTGACTATCCCTTCCCCCCAGCCTTCCCCACTGGCAGCCATGTTTCCTACGTCTGTGAGGCTGTTTTGGTTTGTAGATAAGCTGATATGCGTAGTTTTTGATTGAGGACTTAGTCATACATATGAAATCTCTTAATCCCCATGTCAACCTGATGTGAATCACTGCTGCTATTATCCTGCTTTTGCCAATAAGGAAACAAGAGGCAGAGGTTGGGGGAGGTGCCCACAGTTGCCCGGCCGTCACTTCCCAGTGCCCTGCCTTGCCTGGCACAGTATGATGCCACCTCCTTCTTTATCGTGCCATCAGAATGTTCCTGAGTGTGGCTCATCTTGCACCTGCCGTGCCAGCCTGCGGTCTCCCTGTCTCCGTCCAGCAGGCACGATCATGAGAAAAGACAGTTGCAGAAGATTGAAGGTTGCACTGTTCTGATCATCTGCCTCTGTGTCCCTGACACCTGCCCCTCAGTTAAGACTCAGTAACTCGGTGCTAAATGACTCTTTTCATGGACGTTTCTCACCCAAGAGTGAAGTGATTCAGGACGTTTACCATAAACCGAAGTGTTTAAAATGTCAACAAGATAAAGACAGCATGTGCTGCATGGCTCCCTGGCCAATCAGTGAGCATCTGAACATTCTTGCTTACAGCATGTGTGAGGCCTCCCGGAGGGTTTTCAAGTAAAGAGTTTAAATTGGGATAACTCACCTTCAGAAAAGCCCCAGCAGCGCCCAGGCCTCCTCTTGGTGCTCTGCGAGACACTCACAGGCATCTCACACCTCCGATGGCCACACCCCGTTATCCCCTCCACACTGGAAAGAGGGTCTCTGGCTCATGTTCTTGGGACCATGAAGTGGAGCGGAGTGGAGTCTGCTCAGCTGCCATCTTTGTTATGCCCGTGACGTTCCCTTCCACAACATGACTCTCCAGAAGTTTGGCTTCTTATAGAAACAAGTCTTGTGTGTCACTTGGCGATAGAGAAAGGCTTGGACTCTGAAACCCCTGCTCCATTTCTGCTTTTGCTACTTATTGCAACCTCGAGCAGGTTGCTTCCATTCTGAGCCTTGGCTTTTCCATCTGTAAAATGGGGCCCAAACCACATGACTTTCCAGGTTGTGAAATACCTAGGGACTGCCTACTGTGGAGGTTCAGAACCATGAATATTCAAATATTTGGTTCTTCTCCCTCCCACCATAGGGCACTAACTGTGTTTTGTTTGTTTGTCTCAATGACATCTATTATACGTCTTGCACAATGCCTGACACTCTAGGGAATTAAAGGCTGACACGTGCCCAAAGTCAGCCATTAACCCAGACTTTAGGAAAACAGCCGCTAAGCCCTAAGAAGTGGGGCAGGCCCTTGGGTGCTGCCAAAGCTGGGCCTTCACTTCTGACCCTTCACTGTTTCCCCGTCACCGCTTGCTTCATGCAGAGGGAAAATGGGCGGGAGTCCTAGAGGGGGTTTGCTGGGTAGAGGGCAGAGGGAGCCGTTAGGGAGCCGCAGGAAGGCCGCGTAGGAAGGCCGTGCCACGGGCGCCCTGGGTGGGAGACAGGGCCCTGCCACCCCGCTCTGGTATAGAGGGATAAAGGAGTTGGGACGGCGGACCTCAGGCCTTTGGAGGAAGGCTTCATGGGTCCCAAAGAAGGTGGTGAGCTGAGGGCCTCTCTCCAGGTCCCTGGACCACTGAGCCATCGCCACGGTCCTGCCCTGTGTAGTCAGCTTTATGTTACAGGAGGGGAGGAAGTGTGATGTGACTGAAGCCCGCTTCCTAAAAAGGGGAGACACGAAGAAGTTTATGATGCTTAAAGGAGTAAAATTAATTCCATAGGATATTGTGGCATGTCGTTCCTTTATGATGCCCCATGTCTGTCCAGCAACACGTGTACATTAAGCAGTCGGTTCTGATGCACTGGGGCTTCCCTGGTGGGTCAGGCAGACAGAGTCCACCTGCAGAGTAGGAGACCCTGGTTAGATCCCTGGGTCAGGAAGATCCCCTGGAGAAGGGAATGGCTGCCCACTCCAGTATTCTTGCCTGGGAAATCCCATGGATAGAGGAGTCTGGTAGGTTACAGTCCATGGGGTTACAAAGAATCAGACACGACTGAGTGATTAACACTTTCACTTAGGCAGCAAAGTTCCAGGCGGGGAGGTGATGTTAACATGTGTCTTGGTGATCAGAGAAGGCTTCCTGAAAGCACCGTGGAAGGAGGCAGACACCTCTGCCCCTGGCTGGCCCGGTGGTTCTGGGCATGCGCCCTCTGTCTGAACTCAGTGGTCCCCTCTGTAGTGTAGAACAGCCGCACAGTAGGAGGCGGGCCCTGCAGAGGCCTGGCGTGTAGTAGGTGCTTCATGAGTGACTTGGTTCTGTTCCCCCAGGTAGGAAGTTCAGGGAAGAGGAGGGAAGTGGGAATGCTGGTTCTATGTGGGTCATAACCACATTTGGGTCATAGTGGCTCTGGATCCAGGCCTGGGTCCGTGTCTTGGTTCTGCCACCAGCCAGCCCTGTAGGCCCTTATCCGCTCCTCAGCCTCCCTGAGCCAAGTTCAGAAGCCTCCCTGCTGGACGGGAGATGACACGCAGAGCCTTTGGTTCCCCGCCTGCCCGCACTCAGAACTCCCTAAATGGAAGCCGTGCCACTCTACCTGCTGCCATCACAGCTAAGAGCGCCAGGGTGGGAGGCAGGTGGCAGTCAGGCCCCGCACCGCGGGCAGACCACCCTAAAGGGACCGCCACGAAGAGGCAGGCCTCCTTCCTGAGGCCTGTCTCCCTGCTCAGGGGAGGGGAACTTGGGGGTGAGAAAGCAAATCTGTTCACAGCAGGGCGGCAGCTTCTCCAAGGTGTCTGAGCTGTCACTGCACATGCGTGAAAATCTGCAGCTTAGAAAACAAAATGGCACATCTCTCCCATCTGGCTGATTCAAGGCTTCACCTCAGTCTGCGTCGGGGCTGATGCACCCTTGAATACGAGCAGATGGAGGTGAGAGGCCCATGTCACCTGCTCTGGCCCCTTCCTCCCTTCAGCGAGCCTCCCTCCACCGTCTGTCTTCCAGATGAAGCCCATGAACGTGGAATATCTCATGATGGACGCCTCCATCCTGCTGCCCCCAACAGGCACGCCGCTGACCGGCATTGACTTTGTGAAGCGACTGCCGTGTGGTGACGTGGAAAAGACCCGGCGGGTGAGTGGGCATTGGCCTTGGCCTTTATCCTGGGCAACCATTCACCAGGAAGCACCCCCAGGACAGGAGAGGGAGGGTCTCAGACCACATCCAGACCCACCTTCCAGCTCACCCTCATAGAGCCAGACAGCAACCCCCAGCCCTCGCCCCCACCCCTCCACCACAAGGGCCTAGCTTTCCACGAGCACTGCCCTCTTTCTGGGTGTTTGTTTTTTAATTTTGGCTGTGCCGGGTCTCTGCTGCAGCCCGTGAGCTTCCCTCTGGTTGTGGCTAGAAGGTTCAGTTGTTGCAGCGCATGGGCTGAGTTGCTCCACAGTGTGTGGGATCTTAGTTCCCCAACCAGGGATCAAACCCACGTCCCCTGCAGTGGAAGGCAGATTCTTAACCACTGGACCACCAGGGAAGTCCCTGCCATTTGTTAAACAGACACTGAAAGATGTTGGTGGCAGGCAGGCTGCCTTCACTGAGCGAAGCTGGTCCAGCCCCAGACCTCTGAGAGAGGAAGCAGGGCTGGGCTCCTTTGAAGGAGCGTGGTGATGCAGAGCAGGTGAGGCTGCTGCAGAACCAGCCCCGAGAGGCCAGGACCCCTGGCGATGGCGTGGCATTAAGGTATCTGAGGAATCTTGGGGCATGACACACGAAAATGCCGTTGTGATTATTTTTGGGCCTGCGGGAGAGGTGTGTGAAGAGGTTAGTTCTCAGAACCCAGCTGCCGTGTGCACTTCCGTTATCAGCAGTTTTTTTCTTCAGCCATCTCGCGGGGCTGTTCAGGGTACTTTATCTCCCTGGTCAGATCACAGTTTCTTTCTTAGAAAGCACCATAACCCTTTCCTAGAAAATCATTCCCTGGAGATGTGGAGGTGTGGATAAATTAGAGGAATCCCTTGCCCTCATTGCTCCTGTTATCAGGCCAAGCCTTCCCCTGAGATAATCCAAGTGTACCCAGAGTGGAGGAAGTATTGTGACCTTTTTGAGAGACGGGATTGACTCACTAGACCCGCCTCAGACAAGAAGATTTCCTGGCCTTCTTGCTGCGAGTTTGCCTTGAAAGCCTGGCGGGGCGGGGCTGGGGCCCAGAGAAAGTTGGAACCGTGTCTGAAGTCAGTCTGCATTCCCTGCCGTCCACCCAGACCCACCATGCTCACCGCAGAACCCACCCTCTCTCTGAGCCAGTGACGCCTGCCTCCCTCATGCTCCCAGACAGGTGTGCAGGCCCTGTGGCCGGGCACATGATTGATTGTGGGTGGCAGCGTTTGCACTGGGCGTCCTTGGTGTCAGCTTTTACGGGGGGATTGGTTCTGACAAGTGGGTGTCACGTCTGTACTCCTTATGGAGTGGGTACACTCACCCTTGACCTTTGGTTTGGTTGTTCTTGGAGATGCTCCCCAGCAGGATAACGGCAAAGCCACATGCCCAGTCCAGCTCTTGTGTCCCTGGGCCAGAGAGGACCCTGTCCCGGTTCTCCTCGGCCCCTGAACTAGAAGATCCAGAAGACTGTGAACACAGAGATCCGCTGCTCTGGGTCGCATCCTGCCTTCCTTTTGGTCCACAGTCCATCAGGTTTTCTTAACAGTTATATGAGCACATGGCCTTTGTGACAAAGTGGATCATTCATATCAGTTCTTCTTAAAGAATTTCCTCACGTATTTCTACAACCACCCTGGGAGGTTGGCACTAGTATTATCCCCATCTTACAGAGGAGTAAACTGAGGCACGAAGAAGTTGAGTGATTTGCTCAGCATTCCCCAGCTGACAAGTTGCAGAGCCAGGATTCAACCGGCGGTGTGACCATTTTGACCCCCTGCCTCCCACTGCTTGCCTTCATTGTATTTAATAGTCCTACTTGGTGCTGGATACCAGGAAACATAGCCGCAGTCCTCATGGAAAAGACTAAAGAGGGTGAGGATGGGAAAGGCAGCACCAATCCATGCGTGCTAAGTCCCTTCAGTCATGTCCGACTCTTTGTGACCGCATGGACTGTAGTCCACCAGGCTCCTCTGTCGATGGGATTCTCCAGGCAAGAACACTGGAGTGGGTTGCCACGCCCTCCTCCAGGGGATCTTCCCGACTCAGGGATTGAACCCACATCTTTTATGTCTCTTGATTTGGCAGGCAGGTTCCTTACCACTGGTGCCACCTGGGAAGCGCACACAACTATGGGCCAGGGCTGTTTCTCCAGGAGCACAAGGTCCCTAATCCTCCCTGGGGAGGGGGGCAAGAAGCACAGAGAGCTGCTCCTTGAGCCGGGCCTGTGGGGGAAGGGCTGGGCGCTGCGGCGGGAGGGGTGGGGGTGCACAGAGGCCCAGAGAGCTGTGGGCCGTGTCTGGAGCCCCCATGGGGCCAGCTGTGTGGGAAGTGGTGGCGCTGGAGGGGTTGCAGGGGACAGGTCTCAGAGCCCTGGGAGCACAGCGAGAGCCTCGGCCTGGTTGGCCGGTCCCTGGCATCTTGTCCTGCTGGCCTGGGGCAGACACGCCTGGTCCATGGGAGAAATTCTGGGCTGAGGCCTACGACAGAGGACAGGGCTGCTTGGGCTTCACGGTTCCTGCTCCTTCTGAGCCTCTGTCTCCTCACCCAGCCAGCAGCCAGCGCCGCCCGCCCTGCCAGGGCCCTCGGGAGGACTCCGCGAAAGGCAGAATCACAGAGGCCAGTGGTGGTGCCTGAGGGTGGGGCTCTTCCTCTCTCATCCTCAAGATCCCAGGACTGCTGCCCACCTCCCTTGCCCCAGATGGGCTGCAGGGCTCACACTGCCAAGGGAAACACCAGTGCCCCCGGGGTCTCTCTTATGACCTTCGTCACAAGACCGGTTTATAAAGGCAGCTCTCAAGTCTGGTGTCCCTGGAGCCAGGATGAGATAAGAGGGCTGGCCACCTCAACGCAGAGCCATGGGCCCCAGAGGTTTCCCTCTGATGTCCAGGATCCACTGTTGAAAGGGAATTTTGACCTCTCACCTCAGCCCAGCCCCTGATGCCAGGCAGCTGTCTGGAGTCCTCCCACAGCTTAGCTTCTCGGCCCGTTTCAGACATCAGAACACGGCGGTGTGCTCTGAATGTGAGCTAGAGGAAGTGTATGGTTTAGCAAGCAATTGAAGGCTTATGTGGTTTGTTTCAAGTTCTTTGCTCGTATCCAGAGAACATTCCATTTCGTCCTGTTGGATTCAGAGGTTTTCCTTCTTTTTTTTTTTTCCCCTGCCAACTGTAGGCTTTTCTAACTTTTAGGAGGCTGACGCTTTTTAGAAATACCACCCTTTATTTTCCTTAAGGACTTGTCAAAGAAGTTCAAACCACCCTTTATGGTGAATCATTCGTTTGTACATTCATCAAAGAGCCACTGGACTCCCACTGTGTGCCAAGTGCTCTCCCAAGGGTGCAGGAGTGAGCAGAAAGTTGTCCCGCCCTTGGGTGTTCCCGGGCCTGGAGAGAGGCAAAGCTTGTGGTCAGGGGTGATACCAGGCTGCAGCAAGGGCTCTGAAGGACAGAGGGGGTGCTGCGTTAGACTGAGTGACCAGGAGAAGCTGCCTGGCAGAGGTGACGTCTGAGCAGAGACCTGGGGAGTGAGGAGCCAGCCAGGCAAAGACGTGAAAGAGACCTTTTCCAGACCAAGGGAGCAGTGAGTGCAAAGGCCCCGAGATGAGGAAGAGTGAAGAGTGTCTGAGGTGTGGGGTGACTGGAGCGAAGTGAGTGCAGCGGACAGGAGAGGAGGGCACGGGCTGTGCAGGCTGCAGGGAAGCATCTGGCAACGAAGTCACGTTTTCCCCCTTGCCTTTTGCAAATTACACTGTTTATTCTTTCATTCGACGTATCTGTTGAGCCTTTTCTAGGCACTGGGCAAGAAGCAAGAATAGAAAGGATAAATAAATAATGCAAAAGAAGACCAAAATAGCAAGAGTGCCACTGAGCAATTGTGGCTGAGAAGGGAAATTCATGTTGACATGTGGTCACAGGAACTCCTGGGGTCTGACAAGAACATGCAGGCAGAACCTGGACTTGAGCTGAGCCCAGCCCTTGTGGCAGGGCAGTCGAGAGAAGCAGTAAGAAAGAGCACAGGCACACGAGTCACACCAGCTGAGGCAGAATCCCACCTTTAGCTGTGTGACCCTGAGCAAGTTACTTAGCCTCTCTGAGTCCCAGGTTCCTCCTGTGTGCTGCTTCTCAGCTGAAGAGTGATGGAGCTTTCTAGCCTCTTAAGTGGGGAAGAAGCCAGGTCTTTTACCAGTCAAAACCTACTGACGCCTAACGCTAGAGAAAAGAGAGTTGGGGAGAGGACTCTTTGATGAATACCAGAATCTGAATTCAAGCCACTAGCCGTCTTTATGGAATAACCATGGAAGCCATTATGAAATCAAGATATTTGCATGAAGTTTTATTTGTCCCTGTTCCCTCATAAAACCGCAAACAGTTTTCATGTTTATCGCTATTGACCTTGAGGAAATAGGATATTTTGCTTTTACTCTCTGGATGTGTATTGTGCATTAAGGAAAATACAATAACATCTCACAGAGTTTCAAAAGTAGGGTGAAAGAATTTCCGGTGATTTCATCACCGTAAACAAACAACACAGACTGTGTGTGTCTCCTCCCAGCTTTGTCTGCAGACACATCTTTTCATGGTTGCAGGGGTGCATGGGCGACAGACTTGCTTTCATCCTCGCTGCCTTTCTCTTTGCATTATGAGCAAGAAGTTTTTCATTGATACAGTTTTAATAAGTCTAATTTCTTACTCCTGCATAAAAGTTTAACTGGTGACTTTTGCCTAATTTCCTTAGGCATTTTCCTGCTGGTGGACATTTTGGTTGCTCCCAGTATTACATTATTTTCAGATAAATTGTAATAAGCAGCTTGACGAATACAGTGTTTCCTTTCTTTTGGCTTATTTCTTTAGGATAAGTTCCCAGAAGTGGAATTTCTGGTTCAAAGGGTATGAACATTTTTTTTTTTTTTTTTTGGTGACTCTGTTGGTATTGCCAAGTTGCTTTCCCAAAGGTCTGTGCCTACTTTAAAGCGCTTTTTTAAGAATGACTGGCTTCCACGGCCTCAGTGGGCTCCTGGCCTGAGTGACTGTCGCTTGAACTCAGTAGCTTGCACGTGCGGCCAAGCTGGCAGGGGAGAGGGCTCAGGCTGAGTGTTTGTTCCAGGCCCAGCCCTGGGGCTCAGGGTGGTCTTTGTACTGTCTCCTTGCATCTTCAAGGTGGCCCCATGATCTGGGGTGGTGGGGACCCCCTTTCCACAGCTCCAGCCCAGGCCTGGGGAATCACAAGACTCAGGTTGGACTAAGGTCTGTCTGACTTGGAAGCCGTCCGCTGCCCCACTCGTGGGGCTCTCCTTGCTCCCCACTGCACGGAAGCAAACTGGAACGGTCTGTTCTTTATAGTTAAGCTTGTTTACTGCCACACCACCCTGAACATGCCCATTTCTCTTGATAGTTAAACTTGGTCAGCTAACTCCCCTTTCCAAATCTAATCCATTCTTCTTGAGTCAATCTTCCTATGGAAGCATCTGAAAGAATAAGAATACTCTTTTCCTTTCAGTAATACATTTCAATTTGCACATTAATTGAGCAAAGTCAAGAAAAACACTCAATAAAAGCCTGGGTCCTAATCCTTCAGTCTGTTGAAGGCAAAGGCGTGTGATTGGAAGACAGTCTTTGGAGTCAGTTATTAGGTGAATCACCTTGGGCAGTCTCCCTGACGTCTCTAGGCTTCAGTTTCCTGTCTGTAAAATGGGAACCACTCACGGTGGTTAAAATGGCTCGAATGGTGGGGGTGCAACCCCCACCTGTAACTGGCAGGCCAGGGGTACGCAGAGAGAGTAGTGGTTGTTTAGGGTGACAGTGAGATGATCAGATGACCTTTAATCCCGGTGTCTCACCTTTCTCTTGTGGATTCTCGGGGTTGTGGAGCTGGTGAACATGGCCCGCCAAACCCTGTAGATGCCCATGAGAGCCCTGCTTTCACCCAGGTGGAGTCCTTGGCCCTGTGGGAATCTGCCCTCATATTCATGAGCCCGGGCTTCTCACACTGTGTTTGTAGAGAGACATCTGCTGATTATCACAGATGTTTTTGTGAAGACTGCTCTTCAAAACTTTCAGAACAGGAACTTCCCTGGTAGTCCAATGGTTAAGGCCCCAACGCAGCAGGCAGAGGTTCGATCCCTGGTCAGGAGACTAAGATCCCACATGCCACACAGCACGGCCAAAAAATAAAACAACAGAAACATGCAAACAAACAAAAATGTTTAGAACAATCGAATAATACACCAGTGCCCCCACAGCCACCATCTTTATCATATGAAAGTTTATGTTTCTCTAGTGCTTCTGGCTGACTGAGGAAGACCTGACGCAAGAATAGGTCCAGGAAACAGGACTGTTCATCCAGTTTTCTGCATCGGGGCATTAAGTAATTGGCCCAAGATCTCCCAGCAGTTCTAGACCAAGTCAAGATTAGGGTTCAGAGGTGCCCACAGCATCCTCGTTTCCTGGGTCAACAAAAGTCAGTGCAAACCTGGCTCTTTGTGGGCAGTCATCTGTTCCCTCCACCCCTTGTTTTGAGAGGCACCTTGTCATACAATGGACAACCTCCCATCTCAGTGGGCAGGCCTAAAGCCTCAGAACTGGCAACAAGGGGACCCAAAAGCGGGCTGTGGAGCTCGCCAGTGGCGACAGCAGTTTGTCCCCACGGCCTCCTCGTGCTGAGCTGTGGAGTGGCAGGAGTGAGGCCTGGCCGCCCCTTTACGGACCCCGTGCTAGCTGCTGCCCCCACTATCATCTCAGAGGCTCCCCGCAGCCCCGCACAGTAGAGACTCACATCGCCATCTCACACAGGAGGAAACTGAGGCTCTTGGGGTCGGGGGCCTTGCCCAGCGCAGTGGAGCTAGGAGTCCAGCATAGACCTTCCGTACCTGACTCGGGGGCTGTTTCCCTCCATCAGGGCAAGTAGCCCGGAGGCCGTGGGCCCCGTGGCTGCCGCTCCACTTCCTGGCCTCTGGTTGGTGGGCAGGTCAGCCCCAACCTGGGACTCGCGGGGAGTTACCTCCAGGGCAGACTGACGGCTGGGCGGAGGCTGCACAAGCTTCTCTGGCTTCCAGCCTGGGGTTCGGCTTTGTTCCCGTTCCCTGGAAACTCCCTCTCACCCTGGGGTCTGCGAAGATGCTTCCTTGATGGGCCGGGAACCCTGTGCTGATGGGGCCCTACTCTGTCCCCACCTCGGTCCCCAGCTGGGGAGACCTGAGGGCTCCCGGGGCACTGACGTCACCACACACCTGCCAGGTGCCAGGCCCTCTGCCCTGAGAGGGGCACAGCCCCCGTTGGAAGGCCAAGGGGCCAGAGCTCCAGGTGATGGGTTGTGGGGTCTGGCGGGCTCTGAACCCCACCCACATCTTACCTTCTGTCTCTCCCACCCCCACATTCAGTAGGTGGACCTTGAAACACTCATGGTTTGGATTTTCAGACTCTGGGCTGGTTTAGTTAGAAGGGACCTGGTTCTGGCCCTCGCTAGGTGTGAGCTTGGGCCTGATCACATGGCCTCCGTGGGTCTCAGAGCCTCGACTACCAAGCAGGGCTGCCAGCCATGCAGGTGCCACGAGGGTCATGTGACCCTAGAGGGCGGGTCCCGGCAAATGGCAGGTGCTCAGCGAGGTCCAGTGGCCCAGCCCAAGCCTGCGGGTGATGGCACACAGGCTGCCTCCTTGACTGTTTTCATTTTAAATCTTGGCTCTGAAAGCACCAGAACCACGATGCTGAAAGAGGTAGGCTTTGTCTTGTTCATTTTAAATCTAGAGTCGTTGTGTGATTTCTCCATACGGAGCTTCTCACCAAACTGACTTCACTCTTTTCTGCTCTCCAAACTGTTGGTCCAGGCCATCCGGGTGTTCTTCATGCTCCGTTCCCTGTCCCTGCAACTGCGAGGGGAGCCCGAGACCCAGCTGCCCCTGACGCGGGAGGAAGACCTGATCAAAACGGATGACGTCCTCGACCTGAGTGAGTTGGTCATCTTGCGTCACGGCAGCAGGGGTGGGGGGACACCGCCAGGCTGGCTCACGCATCACTGGGAGGCTCGTGGGCGACCTGCATGTCGTACTGGGATTGATCTGTCACCGTGAACTTAGACAGTGCACATGTCACACAAAACTTTCAGAAAAGAGGCCCTAGATTCTGGACACTTGGAGTCAGTCTGTGGGCCCTGCTTTCCGGAGACCAAGGGGTGCTGTGCAGGTGTTTTGCTGAAGTATCTGTGCATGGTGATTGGGGTCTCAAGCAGGGGTAGGCACAACTCTAGGATCCCTGCCCTCCATATAGTCACAGCAGCACCAGTCTGGTCGGTTGTGTGTGTTAAAGGTGGTCTGTATGATTTTAATGACTAAAGGATCCTGATTGGTTAAAACAAGGAAAGTGTTCAAAAATGCAAGCCACCAGCATTTAGGTAAAGATGAAGGCTCTGGAGGCCCAAGACCCATGTGCTTAGCCTGCAAGCCTGAGCATCCAACTGGCGCCTCAGTGCTCTCCTCTTCAGTGTGAGACTGAGATTTAAAGGAGACAGAATATAAAGCCTGGTTGTGTTCCTATAACCCTTCTCCCAGTCATATAACTTTTTCCTCTTATTTGCTGTAACATTGTGATATATTAAGACTCTTCCGTTACAAGAGATAGAAAGGCCAACTTAAACTAACTTAAGGAAAAAGAGAGGCAGATTCACTGATGTCAGTGTAACAGTCTAGATCTCCTTTCAGGCACGGCTTGATCTAGGCACTTAAGCAATGCCATCAGGAAACTGCCGCCTTCCTTCTCTCAGCTTTTCTCTCCTCTGTTCTGGCTTCACCCTCCAGAGAGCTCTCACCAGGTGGTGAGAAGGTGGCCATCAGGACCTCTGAGGTCCGCTGAGCTGGCTGAGCAGCCCTGAGAAAACCAGAACTTCTCTTTCCCTGTAGCTTGCAGAGAAGTCCAGAGCAATGCTCTCAGTGGCCCAGCTTGAGTCACAAGACTGCTCCTGACCCAGTCAGTGGTCAGCAGAGTGTGATTCACTGATTGGTTAGGTCAAGGTCACGTACTCAGCTGTGATGCTGGGAGGGTGGGACCTGCTCCTTTTGAACCCCATCACCTGGGGGTGAGGAAGGAGGCGGCCCCAAAGGGAACTCGAAAAGAAGAGCTGGAAGCTGGAGAGGCAGAAACAGCAGGTGGCCACTTTGTAGTGGACGATGAGAGAGTCCTTGTTTTAAATCAGCTTTGTTGAAATACAGCTTGCATCCAGTAAAGTTCACCGAGTTTTAGTATACAGTGGAATGAGTCTTGACAAAAACTGTTCAGTTGTGTAACCTGAAATTATGATGCAGACCAATGAGGGTTTGTATCTTTTGAGCCAGAGGCCCCTGCCCAGCTCTGTATTCTCTCAAGCAAGTGACTGAAACCACCATGACTTTCGTTTCCCTGCCTGGAAAACGGGGATGATCTTCATTATGTTACGGGGCTGTTTTGAGACTTGAGTGAACTATAATATGAAATATAAGATGACCGAGTCTAGTGCCTCACATGTAACTGTGCTCAGGAAAATGGAGTCAGCGTTGCCTGATAATCACATCCAGTGATGCACACAAAGAGCACACGGCCTGACTCGTGGGAGGGTCTCCGTAAATGGTTGTTATGGTTTTGCCTGGTGGTCTGACTCCTTTTTCTTGCTTCCTTTTTGTTTATGCTCCTTTATTTCTTCTCTCTCAGAGGAGCAAGGAAACTACGTCCTGTCTGTGCTCTCTGCCCATCTTCTGTGGCCCTTTCCTCCTTGAAATATGGCCACGGGGATTTCTGTAAAGGTTTAAATTGATGGCATAGGCTGAAGAGACCCATAAACCCATCTTTCTCTGATTGGATTCAAGGAAAGAGAAAAAAACAGTTTGCCTTAACGGGGCCTCTCCGTCAGGGCAGCAAGAATGTTTGCATCCGTGAAATGGAATTAAATTTTATGCTGGGAATTCACGTACCCTGCCTCCTCCCACTAGGAATGGCCTGCTGAAACAAAGGTTAAAAGTATTTCACTTATCAATTTGAATTGATTAGATTGCTAGTTGAAATCACTTAACTGAGCCTTTTTGGGTAGTTGGCCATTAAGAAAGTAATGGCTGTCTGTCTTTACCCAGCGTGATTGCAAATTATGTCTTTGCTAAAGAGGGTGCTGGCCAGAAAATACTATGAATTATGGATTTTATGAGCATATGGTATGAGGGTAAGATATGCATGTGTTGACTTTTTGTGTGTGTGATTATTCTTAAATGCTCGAGCTTCTCACTTTCCATGGGGAAAAATTAGCAATGCTCTGCACTTCACCAAATGCCTTCTGTGTATACTAAAGGTAGGAACCATCCTAGTATAGGTAAGGGCATTCAGATTTGCTAAATTTTGGAGGCTGGGCTTGCTTCTTAGGAGGTCATGTTTTGTCTCCCTGAAGCTTGAGGAAGCTGACTCAGGGAGGAGTGTTTGGGGTTGGTCAACTGCTTAAATGGGTTTAAAGGAATGCAGCAGAAAGAGTTGACTTGAAGTATTTACTTGAAGTATTTACTAAACCTGTCACACCTCGATAAGAAACCACAACATCAGAACATTCAGAAGCCATCCCGTACATCCACTGACCCACAGCGCCAGGTGTGGCGGGTGAGCTCTGCCAAGGGAGCTTCTGACGAAGCGCATCAAAGAGGCCGTCACCTCTTTGGGAAAAAAGGAACTGTACAGAAAGCCTGTTTTGTTTTCACTGGAGAGGAGAGTGGCGTGGGGCAGAGGTCACGGATTGGCAGCCACGAGGGAAGGAGGGGAGGGGAGGGAAGGAGAAACAAAAGGGCAGTGGGAAGGGAAGACTAGAGTAGACCTGACTAGATAAAAGAGGTTAGGTTTTAGAGGGAATAAAATTGTGAGTCTCTATGCACCTAGCCTTCAGCTTCAATAGTTCTTATCCTTTTGTGGAGCCTCATTTCCTTGGCCCCGCCATTTCTCGTTTTAACCACCACCTCCCACCCTCTGTGTATTAAAGCAAATGGGACTGCATCTATAAATACTCCTCTCTAACAGATAAGGACTTGGGGCTTCTCTTCTTGATTGAACTGGTTGCCACCATTGCAAAAAGGGAGCTTCCCGGCCCCCCGCTGCTCTGGGTGGAGCTGGAGATGTGGCCTGGGCTCCCCTGTGTTCTGCCAGCTTAGCCCCATGGGCACTTGAGTTTGCAGCCCCTGCTCCAGCTGGAAGTAAGCAGCTTTGTGGCCTTGCTCAGGGTCTTCCTGCTTGCCAGGCTCAGTCGCCTTGCGTAAAGATGGTTCTAAATGACTTTGCCCAGAGGGCTGTTGAAGATCAAATGAGATCACGTGCATGAAGCATGCGGCACCCGGCTCGGCGCATAGTAGGTTCTCAGTGAATGAGAGCCAGTGAGTGACCGGCACAGAACTCATACTGTGGGGCACCCTGGCTTGGCATTTTCTGCTTCGACAACATTTTGGGGCGTGCCTCCCAAAATATTTAAACCAGTTCATCACTTATGGGATGGCATCATTTGGGGGTGAGGGAGGGGTAAGAAAGATGGCTCTGGGTAAGAAAGACCACCACTTCCTGGTGGTCCAGTGGTTAAGACTTTGACCTTCCAGTGCAGAGGGTACAGGTTCGATCCTTGGTTGGGTAGTTAAGATCCCACATGCCTTGTGGCCAAAAAACCAGAAATCAGAAAACAGAAGTAATACTGTAATAAATTCAATAAAGACTTAAAAAAAAAAAAGACTGTGTGGGAACAGTTGAAGGGTCCTGTATCGTGTCTGGGCCCCAGGCGAGCACTCCTGCACAGTCACCACTGGGCTGACTGACCGACAGCCCAGCGATGCCCTGAAGACAAGCAGAGGAGAACCGGGTGCCTGCCTGTCTGCCTGTGACCGGATAACATGCGCAGTGACAGCAGGGGAAACTCCTCCGTCATGACACCCTCGGGAGATGCCAGCCACCTTCAGGAAACGTCCACAGGGGCCCTTGACATTGACATAATTGTAGCCGTGCCATGTACGGCACCCACCTAATCTTGTATCCTGATTTTTAAAATGCATTCAGTGAAACCCGTCCATTAATTCAGCTCCTTATTGAGCACCTTCTGTATGCCAGGCACAGTGCTGAGATGGGATATGATAGTGAACTAATAAAGCCAGCCTTGGCCTCTGCTCTTTGGTGCTTCCAGCTGGGGGCAGGGAAGGGACCACAAACAGGTAAAGGAGGAAAAGCTAACTGCACAGTCGTGGGTTGATGGAGGTGGCTCTGTGGAGATGATGAACGGGGCCCAGGGCTAGAAAACTATCAGAGAAAAGGCCTCAGAGGCTGGTGAGAGAAGCCTCTCTGGAGAGGCATGTGCCGGGGGAGCCAGAATATTGCACAAGAAAATGCAGAGATGAGGCCCGCCAGTTGGGGAAGGGGGAGGTGGAAGGTGAGAATGGGCTTGGTGTGTCAGAGGCCAGTGTGGCTGGCAGGTGAGGAGCAGGGCAGAGAGGAGCTGAGATGAACAAGATCTCAACTCCAGTGCAGGGGGAAGTCAGCAAAGGGCATCCATGTGGACAGCTACACTGACTGTGTGCTTCTGGGACAGGAGCTGCCGGGTCACACGGTGCCCGCACAGGCCCAAGAGCCGTGTCCGGGGGCTGGAGAGGCCACGTAGCCTCATGGCTCTGAGCCTAGGCTTGGGAGCCAGTCTGTGCTGGGAGAAATCCTAGCTCGGCCCCTTGCCACCTGCCAGCGTGTGTCCTTCAATGAGTAACGTGATCTCTTGGTGCTTCGGTTTCCTCGTGTGTAAATGGGAGTTGCTGGGAGGAGGCAGTGAGTTAATACATATGACGTGCCTGGAACAGTGCCTAGCACAACTTCAGGGAGGCTAGTTAGGAGGTTGCAGCATTGGCCCCGGAGCCAGTGACAATGGGGAACAGGGTGTGGGGACGCGGCCCACACATCTCCCAGTTGGCAGCCGGCTGCTCCATCTT